ATGTGCTTTGTGAGCTCCATCCAAAGGGATCACACATTTCAACCAATAGCATCAGGCTTCTTGGTGCGGGCTCAGGAAAAGTAATGAAGGGGACATTACACTGCTGCCCAGAACCTGTGAGTCTGAGAGAAAGATGCCTTTTGATACCTGAATATTTCATTATTTCTGGAATGGCTTCCTGGCTAGTGCTTACTTTCCTGGCCCCGTGGCCCATATAGAACTTATTATGTAGAATCCGCTGCTGTGTTGTGGGAGTTGAAACTTTAATTTTTTTTGTTCCTCTCTGGGCATTTTTGCACAGCAGGTACATTATAAAGTCTGATGCAATATTCAGTCCTTGAAGTCACTACAAAACTCCATTGACTTCAATGGACGTTGGAACAGGCTCTTCAGATTTCTCCTTTTTCCCTATGCACTTTCTTTCCCTTTAGGAAATTGTGAAGCAAAGAATTTCATTCCATTTATCTTTTCCTAACTCCTCTGTTACTAAATTCTCCTTTCTGTCTCTTAGAAGGTCTATTGTCTCCTCCTCTGCTCGCTTCATTCAATATGTATTTGAGGGGAAACCCCTCAAATTCATTATTTATCTTAAGCTTTTTTGCATGCATCCTTCCTCTCTTTTGCTACCTCCCCTTTTATCTGTCCCTTTTCACCCTCTCTGACTCATCTTTCCTATTTGCTTCTGGACCTGAGTTTATATTAGGATGTTTTATACCTTGCAGACACATCTTTCTTAGCTTTGATTACATTTTGTATTTCCAAATTCACAAATGTCACTTTCTCTTTCCTACTGTATTTATATTTACAGCCAAAGGTAGCATAATGCTTGGTCAGACAACAAGTCATCCTAGTTGTTTGTACCGGTTAATAAATATTAATTCTCTGAGTCCTCTTTTTATTGTATATTAAACTCCTTCACATATGAACTATTCTTCCAAACTCCTCATGATATTAGAAAAGAGCATGTTTGAATTCTAAGGACAGAGTGTTGGTCCTTGGCCTATAGGTGACCTAGATTCAGGCACTTCATGTGATCAAGTATTGAGCTGTACTTCATTATGGCTGGTCCCTCCAAATCTGAAGGAATATACATATTTTGGGAAAAGACCTGTCAAACTGAAAAAAAAGTGTTGACATAAATAAGTTATAAACAAACTTGTGTGACTGATAAGGGACTCCTGTTACGGCAAACATTTTCTGTAATGGGTGGGATGACTGATAAGAATAAGTGTTATGACTGATGGGTTCTCTAAATGGAAGAAGCAATGACCCATTGAAAGATGTTTTTAACTCAGTAAAAACTGCCAGATGTAATAGCTGTCAGTAATAATGATCTGATTAGAATTCCCTTTAGCTTATTGACCCTGTAAACTAAAAATACTATAAAAGAAATTCCTTAAGTAATTAGGCAAACCAAAAATGTCAAAAGAAGACAGAGTGACTTTAATTGTAGGAAAGCAATTTTTACCTACAAAAAGGAGTTTCTCAGTCTCATGTCCTATCAAAGACAAGGGATTTGAACATCAGATCAACAAGTGCTAACTGCTTGAAACTCATTAGCACCCTAAAGACTAACAAAACATGTAGATGGGCAAAACCCACTTCTTCATAGACACAGAGGCCAGCTCTTTGCCTTGCATCAAGGGTCAGACTGCATTTATTCTTTCTACATTCTGTATAGTGTCTACTAATCTCAGATTATTAATCTTTTCTTAAATAATTCCTTAAATAATAATTTGCATCGATTTAACAGTCTCAATTAACTTCAAGCATACAATGTTGTGAACATTTCCCCACAGTGTCATTTCCCATTCAACTTTTGATTTCACTATGGGTATTTTCCCAATGCACTGCACTTGGGCTACGTCTACACTGGCATGAATTTCCGAAAATGCTTTTAACGGAAAACATTTCCATTAAAAGCATTTTCGGAAAAGCACATCTAGATTGGCACTTTTGCAGAAAAGCGTCTGTGGCCAATCTAGACGCAGTTTTCCGCAAAAAAGCCCCGATCGCCATTTTCACGATTGGGGCTTTTTTGCAGAAAACAGTACTATGCTGCCTACACTGGCCCTTTTGCGCAAAAGTCTTTCGGAAAAAGACTTTTGCCCAAATGGGAGCAGCATAGTTTTTCCAGAAAAGCACTGATGATTTTACATGAGATCGTCAGTGCTCTTCCAGAAATTCAAGTGGCCAGTGTAGACAGCTGGCAAGTTTTTCAAGAAAAGCTGCTGATTTTCCGGAAAAACTTGCCAGTCTAGACACAGCCTTGGTGATCTCTTGAGACTTAAATTGGAAGTAACTATAGCTTAGTTGCTTCTGTCGTCCATCTTCAGCACTCTGCTTATTCAAAATTACCTCACATATTTTCCCCATTACACACACCACTCATAAATAAAATAGCACTTTTTTCTTCAAAAACACTGGGCAAATATTCACCCCAGTACTGCCATTTCCAATTTACACATGGAGAAACAGAACCAAGGAGGTTAAGTGACTTGCCCAATGCCACAGAGTAAATCAATTGGAAATAGAATTAAGGAATTCCTGATTTCCTTTCAAACCAGTGTTCCTGTGGCAGCACAGCTTCACAGGTGATTAATCAACCCACCCTGACTGGGCAAGGTTAATTAATCACCTGTGAACCTGTGCGGCCCCTCAGCTTAAAGAGAACACTGTTTCAAACCTGTAATTGTTCCTTTGGATTGAAAGGTTTCTAAACCAGTCTATATAGCATGCCCAACAACAACCTGTTCCTTGAGTTTTTAACATTACTGGTACCACAGATAGGGAAGCTGGGAAAAATTACTATTAGTGGATTTTGGTTCATGAAAGGTAAGTTCCCTAAAGCTACAGTATTAGTTCAATTTTTAAAATTTCCCCCTTCTTTATAGTGTGTTCATTCTATTTAGACATGAGCCTGAGCCATAAACTTGGGATCCAAATCTAGATCTTCTCAGCAGGCTGATGGAAACTATCTAGATCTAGGGTTATGGCTCAGACTCATTATTTTATTCTATTGCTGCATCATATTATACCCAGCTAACTGGAACATAGACAAATCAAACAAAACAAACCCAACCAACCGAATAAAATCATAGAATCCCAGGGCTGGACAAGACCTCAGGAGGTCATTGGTCCTGTTTTAGGCAGGAGGTTGGACTCAATCTCAACTAAATCATCCCAGCCAAGGCTTTGTCAAGCCAGGACTTAAAAACCTCTAGGGATGGAGATTCCACCACCTCCCTAGGTAACCCATTCCAGTACTTCACTACCCTTCTAGTGAAATAGTTTTCCTAATATCTAGCCTAGATCTCCCCCACTGCTCCCTGTTCTGCCATCTGTCACTACTGAGAAAATCAGTCAAACCTGAATTAAAAAAAAAAAAAAAAAAAAAAAAAAGATTTGGTTGGGGAATGACCAAGTGTCTGGGCAGAGGAAGAGCTTATTTTATTCAGCAGTGTTTTCCCAACCTGACTAATTATTATTATTAAATACATCGCATTGGGCTAGGCACCCTTTGAGCACATTTTAAAGGACTGTAAATTCTCCAGAGTAAGAACTCAATCTAAATTGTCAAAACAGAGGAAAGATATGAGACAAACATTATTATTAGCCCTATTAACAGGGAAATGAGACAGTCGCTTCTCTTACGGCACCCAGAAATCTGTGCCAGAAGCAAGAATGAACTCTAAATGTGGTGAGCCACAGTCAAGGGACTTAACCATAAGACCATTTTGTAACTTTGCAAGAAATACATTCTTTCCCTGGTCAACACAGATTGAATAAACCTAATTTTGCCCTCATTTTACATTAGTAAAACTCAACTAGCTTCAATGGGACTGTTAAAAAGTGTTAATTTGGGTTACTTGATTTGTTTCTTACATCAATGATCTACAGGTTGAACCTCTGTAGACCGGGACTCTGACCCAGCAACACACGTGGTCTGACATGACCACAGATGTTGCTGGAGTAGAGTACCAGGGGCAGAGGTTGCTGGCAGCTCAGAGTAGAGTTGGCAGGGTGGGGCTGGCAGAGCCAATGGGGTAGCAGAATCTACAGGGCACCAGAGCCAGCAGCTGGCAGGGCAGGGAAGCTAGTGGGGGGGGGCCAAGCCTGCATCTTGCAGGACCACCAGAGCTTGGACAGGGCTGCTGAGCCCACAGCTCACAGGGCTGCTGGAGCTCAGGCAGGTCTGCCGTGGTATGCAAGGCTGGGAGGTTGGGGAAAGGAGGCTGGGGAGAAGAGCTCAGTGGGGAGACTGGTACCCCCCAGTCCCAGACCTCTCCTGGTTCAGCAAACTCCCTTGTCTGGGAGCAGCCAGGTCCTGAGGGTGCTGAACCAGGGAGATCCAACCTGTAAATACCAAGTTTCTAATATAGCTTCCATACTGCCAAACACTTCTTAATAGAGAGAGAGGGTCCCAGGTACCTCCCTTCTTATTTACAATCTCACAATATCCCTGTAACAACTATACCAATTGTTTACTTGATCAGGGAAGATTGTGAAGTGTTTACAGCCATGCATTTTTAGCTGCTGTGATTTAGAAGGAGGAAATAATAACATAGTTCAATCCATGTGAGCAACCAGGTCTCTGGAAACCATCTGTGAGTGCTCTACTGAATATCAACTGCTATTCTAAGGGCAAAATTCTGTTCTCTGATCCACATCTCAACTCTGGTCTCCTCTTGAACTCCCATGGCATTGAAGACTCTATGTAGGTAGTGATACCTGGCTGTTGGTATCATAGTCCAATGTGAAAATCTGACAGCAGGAGTTTGCTCTGAAGTACAAAATCTGAAACACACAGCAAGGGCTGGGTGAGGGAAGGGAAGAGGAGAGGATCATAACAAGGATCATAGCTTAGCCTGCAAGTAACGAATTGCTCAAAGACTGGACATTTTGAGCCATGTTTATTTAGGCTCTCAAATATCTGCCCTTCCACCCAGATGCTTACAAACATACACAGTTAGCTCAATTTAATTTGAATGTGCACCTACAGGAGATAATGTTCCCATATCTATTCTTATTGCGGTTTTCATCTTCTTTGGCTGTATCCCAAGATGCCGTCTGCCCCTCAGGAAGAGCCTGAAAAATAAACCATGGCAGAATGTTTATAAAAAGAATGGCTATTGCCTTCAGGTGGTTTAACATGACAAAGCTGGGCAAAAATAAAGGCGATGAATAATTCAGTATTCAACCAACCAGACAGCTGTTTTTGAGGAGGAAAAGGCACAGCTCTGCAGAGATCATTAGTACCCTTTGGCTTCTGTTGGCTAAGTATCATTTTCCTTATGCAAGTATGGACCTAAAAGGTATGGGGAAGCATGTTTGCTTCTGGTGATATATTTATAGGGGAGTGACATTCCCTCTGCAGTGCAGGGTCTATGATGATTTCATAAACATATGCCCCTCAGAAAGACCAGATGGCTGAAATGCAAAACTCAATCTTGGAGGATATTTAAATTGAAAGTATATAGGGTGGATTCTCCTATTTCTGTATTAATAACATCATGATGCCAGTAATTACACCATACAAACTTTCTGCTGGTTTTCTTAAAGACATTCCTGCAAGGCTTTATTGTATTGCCCACACAGAAGAGTAATATAGCCATTGCCTTTATACTACACCGTAATGAGCATCAGATGCTGCATAAAATGTGTGCGCGCGCACACACTACTAAAAGATGCACTCGTAATTATAAACCAGGATTTTATTTCTTAGAAGGGAAGGACCCCTATTCCACTGTTAACAGTTAGAACCACTCATGACTTTGGTCATGTGATTCCCTTTGGATATTGTTGGAATTGAAAGTTTTATTCTTTTTATATTTGTATTTTAGGTTTAATAATGTAACAACTTAAGGTAACACATTATCGCATTTGATATTTCTTTAAACTAAGCCTTGTAGTAAGATATATATTTCTTTGTTTTAAAGCTTAGTGAGTTTAGAAAGTAAAGAGACAAGAGTTTTTGGTATTGTGTCTATGTTAAGGAGATTAGAAATATTGAAGGCCCGGGCCTTCGATATGAATTGTTTTGATTTTGCTTAATATAAAGCACTGCTGTTTACCTTTGAAGAATTTTGTGAAAGACTGTGTGATCGAGATAATGTGTGAAGGTCATCGTTAGAGCCAGATGGTCGAGAGAAGGGGGGTAATGCGGGTGAAGACAAACTGTAAAAGACAGACTGTGAAGAGATATACCGGCGTCAGAGGAACCATTAGTGCGTACCCACGGTCAAGAATTGATCAGATTGGCAGATTGACGGCGCTAAAGGTGAAGGCATCCCTAGAAACAACTGATTAACAATCCAGGACAGGATGAGCCTCTTGGAGATGTTTTGGGAATTATTAATGTCAACAAGATAACAGTAACTGGTCACAGACTGACACAGCAAAATCCATAGACTTCAACAGAAAAAGGAGGATTATAAAAGCAGGGTGCCTTGCTATGGAACTTTAGGTTAATCTTGTCACCAACTCCAGAAGAGCATTGGATTGCGACTGACAAAAGGCCCTGCTCTCCCTCTGTGATTGATCTGGCTGGCCACTAGATTGATCCAGACTCTGGACTGGTAACTATAACATCGTTGGGGGGACTGTCAGTGTGTGGTGTTTGTGTGTGTGAGTGACTGAAAAGCATATGTTACTGTTGTGTTCTCAATAAATGTGGCATACTGCCTTTTTCCCTATAAAAGATCTCGTGTGCTTCATTTAAACATAACTATATGACCAGGGCTTGACAAACGGTGGTGAAACCTACTCGCCAGCCCCCACACTGCACATGCGAAAGACCCGCATTGCGCATGTACACGCCGTCGGTGAATGGGGCGACCAGCTGAAATCTACTCACCACGGGCAAGTAGATTCAGTGATTTGTCGAGCCCTGAATATGACCATAGGGACCATTTCCCAAAGTGAATATCCTTAATAAATAGCAGGAAAACAGTGGTCCATGGGACATGACCATGGAGGCAGACTGTGAAACATGGCTTGGAGCATCCATAAATTGAGATGATCTCTTGAGACTTAACCAAAGGACTGTCAGCATGGCCAGTTCACAGCAGCAACAGCAGAAGCAGTGCTCTCTTTCGGAACACAGATGGCACTAACCATCTCTTGGGTGTCACTCACAGAGCCTCTCACAGCTGAGACAGAAAAGCACAATTCAAAAGCAGGAATTTTTAGCTGTAGCCATCCTGACCGTGCTCAATGTAAATTGAATGTAAACGGCAGCTCCTGCATATGTTCCCCTGAGATTTTCTGTCACTGCATTTCCCAAGCTCTACTTGCAAGCAGATGTTGTATTCCAAGAGAATCATAGCAATGTTATAAATTTAATAATTTAGGATTCTTAGGAAATAATGGTTCTTTTAATTCAATCCTTGTATTTTGCCTTCACTGGCAGCATCTGATTTGCAATAGCTCAAATTTTAAAATAAACTCTCATGCATCTGCACAAGTCATCCAAGTCTATTATTGTGTCTGAACTGGGATGGAAAAGAGACATCATAATTAGGATCTACAAATGTGACAGTACTATAAAACATGGAGTGATTCCATGGTAGATCTTGAATTTTCTCTCATAGGGTTTCAGGACAGATGATGTTGGGCATATCTCTGAGTGCTGTTAACAACAACAAGCAAGGCAAGTCCAAATTCAAGGAGTAAAGAGGTGATAACAGTAATCGGTGAGATCTTTGATCATGCAACTCTTTGCTTTTACAGAGAGCTGCTATCTATCTAATAGCAGCTGAGCTCCTGAGCAAAAATATACAAAGTAGGTGTCAGAAACTCATTTTCATCTTCAAAGACAAGGGGGGAAAAGCTGCCTTATTTTTACATTAGAATCTAGTTACAGTAGATTGACCAGAGCATGGAAACAGTCCTCAGTAATCTAATAATAGTTGAGATGAAAGTCTCACCTCATCATATTTATACCAGGGTGAGACTATGTTGTCCAAAGGGGATGCAATCAGACCCAGTAAATTCCACATTTTTAGGAAAGGGTTAGATAATAAGACAGAATATCACATTGCTTCTATATTAATCCATAGTACACCCACATCTCAGGTACTGCATGTAGATCTGGTCACAATCTCAAAAAGATATATTGCAATTAGAAAAGATACAGAAAAGGGAAAGAAATATTAGAGTATGGAATGACTTCCGTATAAGGAGAGATTAATAAGACTGGGACTTTTCAGCCTAGAAAAGAGGCAGCTAAGGGGGATATATAGCAGATGTATATAGCATTGGCCAAACTGGACAGTCCCTATGTAAAAGAATCAATGGACACAAATCAGATATTAGGAATGGCAACATACAAAAACGTGTAAGGGAACACTTCAATCTTCCTGGACACACAATTGCAGATCTAAAGGTAGCCATCCTGCAGCAAAAAAACTTCAGGACCAGACTTCAAAGAGAAACTGCTGAGCTACAGTTCATCTTCAAGTTTGACACAATCAACTCTGGATTAAACAAAGACTGTGAATGGCTTGCTAACTACAAAAGCAGCTTCTATTCTCTTGGAATTCACACCTCCAGATCAGCTACAAGAAGTGGGCCTCATCCTCCTTCCTCTGTAGCATGGGGCATGGAAGGTTTTTCGCCTTCCTCTGTAGCATGGGGCATGGATCACAGCTGGAGGATTCTCTGCATCTTGGGGTCTTCAAAGTATTTGAGGGCTTCAATATCTGAGATATAGGTGACAGGATTATTCTAGGAGGGGTGGGTGAGATTCTGTGGCCTGCATTGTGCAGGGGGTCAGACTAGATGATCATAATGGTCCCTTCTGACCTTAAAGTCTATGAGTCTATGAGTCCTTGATTGGATCCACCTCGTCATCTCCAGCCTGATTCTGGCCTGCATATTTCTGCCTGCCTCTGGAAATTTCCACTACATGCATCTGACGAAGTGGGTCTTTACCCACAAAAGCTTATGTTCCTACACTTCAGTTAGTCTATAAGGTGCCACAGGACTCCTCACCGCTTTTGCAGATTCAGACTAACCCGGCTACTCCTCTGATAATTTATCATGGACACTCTAATTGACAATATCATCTAAAGAAGTGGGTTGTGCCCTTGAAAGCTCATGATACCATCTACATTTTGTTTGTCTCTAAGGGTATGTCTACACTACCCAACTAGCGGGGGAATGTAGGCATACCGCAATTGCAAATGAAGCCCGGGATTTGAATTTCCCGGGCTTCATTTGCATAAGCGGGGCGCCGCCATTTTTAAATCCCCGCTCATTTTTAAATCCCCTGCTCATTTAAATCCCCGCTACACGCGGCACGAACTAGGTAGTTCGAACTAGGCTTCCTAGTTCGAACTACCGTTACTCCTCGTGGAATGAACTAGCGGGGTAGTGTAGACATACCCTAAGGTGCTGCTATTTGTTGCTTTTAAGTTTAATGTGGAGAAAGTAAAGAAGAAAATGTTACTTACTCAGAACATAAAAACTAAGTGTCTCATAATGAAATTAATAAGCAGAAGGTTTAAAACAAACAAAAGAAAGTATTTCTTCACACAATGCACAATCAACAGTCAACCCAGGGAAATCCTTGCTAGAGGCTGTTGTGAAGGCCAAGACTATACAAAGGTTCAAAAAGAACTGGGTAAGTTCATGGAGGACAGGTGCATCAATAGCCAGGGACAATGCTCTGAGGTGCCCTACCATCTGTTTGCCAGAGGAAGAGGTGACAGGATAAATCACTTGATAACTGCTGTTATTTTTATTCCCTCTGAAGCACCTGGCATTGGCCACTGTAGGAAAATAGGATACTGGGCTAGATGGATTATTGATTTGACTTAACAGGGCTGTTCTTCTGTTCAAATAACTTTGTTCTGCCATTGATTTGAGCATATTTTCCATTAAAATTGAAGGGGATTTCTGCTGAAATAAAACACTGGCCTGGCATGGCCTCAGAAGATCCAAGAAGAAGGTGATCATTGTTCTCTGTGAATACTGAGGCATTTTACTCTTTACTAAAATACCAATCTGTGTTTGAATGGAAGTAGGGATGTAAAATCTTGTGTAATCAGTTAATTGGTTAAATGTCACACTTAAATGGCCCTCTGCTTGTGACCAGGCACAGCGGGCCTAGATGGGCTGGAGCAGTTCCCTGCTCATGGCATGGTAGTCCTCGCCAGTGTGGAGTGGCCTGTGGGAGAGCCTCCCACCTGGGGTGGACCTGGATGAACTTGGAGCCCCCCCCAGCACAGCACTGGTGGCCGGGTGCTCCAGCCTGGCTGGGTCTGCTGCACTATGGACTGTTCCAGTAAAGCTGGGCCCACCATGGATGGGGGCTGCTCAGGCCAGGCTGGGTCTACCACACCGTGCCACAGGTGAGGGCTGCTCCTGTTGGGCGAGGCCCACAGCACCATGCCGTGGGGAGCTACTGCACCTAGGGTAGCCAGATGGCTGAAACAAAAATACTGAACACCCCCCAAAAAAACCACTGGGAAAAAATTTTGTTGAAATTTTTGGGGACCAAAGTTTTGAGCAAAAAAAGAAAGAGTCACTGCACCTTTAAATCCCCCTTTAAATCCCTCCTTTAAAAGGGGGGGGAGGACTGGCCAGGAAGGGAGCGGTGCTGGCCGGGAAGGGGGGGCCTGGAAACAGCTAACGGGGGGGGGGGTATGGGGCTATGGCTGGGAGAAATGGGGGGGCCAACGGGAAGCAAGAATGGGTATGGGAGGGGG